CTACTTTACTGATCCTCCTCAGCTGCTATCTGAAATTCACTCATGCACTTTGATAATGGAAGAATTAGTGCTATATTTCATGAATCTATTTAAAAAATAAAATACAGAGCTCTTTATTCCAATGCAGTAGTTCTTCTTTTTAATCTTTTTGCAATGAGTTCTGAAAACACCAGGGTTTTAATATCTGCGAGTTAGAGGGAAAGCAAAACGAGCACATCCTGTGCCGTCTGGAGTTAATGACCTTTTATGAATTGGTGAGGATTTAAAGCTTATTATTTTACACTGTTTATTGTATGCAACACCGGGTGAGCAGTGGCATTCCTCCATACAGTCAATAGTCTGTGCCTCTAAAAATCACTTCCTCAAACAAAGCATCAGTGAAATTGACAATATTAACTCTGATCACCGTAATCATTCTGATATAATTACATATTGTACTGTATTGACATATTTGCTGGTGTACTGGCCTATGTGGGACAGTAACAAAAGTTTTCTAATCTCAAAGAAACCTGCAGTTGGTAATCAGCTTTCTGGCATTGTCACTATTTGTCTCGTCTAGTTAAAAAGTGCTGATGGAAACTTTTCAGATAACATATATAATAAACTCTTTTCTTACTCTACACTGTTCTGTGCTGAATCAGGTAAAAGCTATCACACCTCAGTAATTCCTTTATTAAATCAATACAGATCACAAAGGATGAGCTGCATATAAATAGAAATAGATGCGTTTGAAAGGGATTTAAATTTTTTAAGACACAGTAAAGATGTGGAATGTGAAAAAGGAGCAGCAGTTTAATTCCTGAAAGATGTCCCCGTAGGCCTGCTCAGTTAGCAAGTGATTAGCTCAGACGCTATTGGGACAAGTTCGCACAGTTTGTTCAAAATGTGGCACTTAAATTGCACCATTGACTTCTGTCTGGTTGGAATGCATGTAATTTTTGCGGAGCAGTTTATACTTCAGGTGAGGAGTAATGCAGCTAACAAGCTATGCTAGTTCCATTTTAGACCTTCCAGCTCTCAGTTCCCTAAAAAGCAGAGGTGTGAGTCACATGACTTGAACTCGAGTCGGTGACTTTGGACTCAATTTGCCAAAATCAAAAAAGACTTAACTTTAACACCAATGACACTGCACTCACACATAATCACTTGGATCCTTTTGACATGAAAATACTTGATACTTTACTTCAAGCGCAAAGATTAAAATGTTATTTAAAATATGTGCCACAAATCAGTTAATTTCCCTCCATTTCCTCAAACAACTAATGTTAATGCTTTTCACTCCCAGCAAGTCAACGCCATTTTGTTTAAACCAATCAAACACCATTGAATCAGAACCATGAAGAGAGAACAATGAAGAACTAATGTTGTGTTACGTTATTATTATTATTATTACATTTGGTAAAGAGGGCATTATGTCTAGCTTAGACTTGGGACTTGAGAGCAGAGACATGAGACTTAGACCTACTTGTGACTTGCAAAACAAAGACAAAGTTTACCAAACTTTACCTTGACACAAAACAATGCATCTACTTCACCCACATGCGTGAATTTGCAAATCATGGTGATTTAATTAATTGATTTTGATGTTTTGAATTCTGATGTTACCCGGCCTTAATATTTTTATCTTTATATTAATTGTCACTTGGAAGAAAGGTTTAAGCACTGCACATGAAAAGCTTGTTGTGCAGTGCTTATAGTATGTGCACCACTTTGTGTTTCATCAGCATCATGGCTATAATAGTAGTAAAATGTTGCCCTCTCATATATCATTGCTCTCAAGCTGAAATTGCTTTATTGATTGATTGATTGATTGATTGATTGATTGATTGATTGATTTTAGTGTCCTGCCCAGACCATAGGTCTCACAAGACAGTGCCTTATAATGTTACATCAAGCCACATCACTATCTTAGTGTACCTATAATCACAATATAAACCAAAGAAATCATTTTCCTCAAACAGAGAGCTTTATAAAAATCCTCCATACAACTATAGAGACACACACAACTGCTACTATGAAAAACTGAACAGTTTAGATTGTACCAGAAAATTGCCTGGAAATAAAGCTATCATGTTCCATTCTTTTGTCACACTCCCAATCTCCTCAGAGGAAGCATCCACTACCTAAACCTTTCTTCTTTGCTCTTCTCTCATAAAGAGAAAATATATTTCAGAGCACAGCTGAACTGAAATAGAATCCAAGTTTTCTAGGCCTTAAGAAGATAAATGCAGCATTCGCCATTTAGCATTTATATTTAACACTGCTCATTAACTAATATGGTGACTGAATGGTATGTGTTAACAGTTGGAAAAAACACGAAAAATGTAATTAAACAGCAACACATGAATCCTCACACATATAAATGAACACCCACATTACACTTGGAACATGTACCAACTGATGTAAATGAAAGGACTAAATTAGACAAAACTTGAGCAACAATAATTATTCACACAGTTAAAAAAAAAGTCCATATGAACTTTAACACTTTGAAAAATGTTTCAACAGCCCTGTATCATTAAATACAGTTATTATAATCTCTCCATTTAATTCATAACCAACAAAGTTGTGAAGTAGGAGGGGTTGTTGGTTGTTGGAGTGTCTTTCCCCCATTTTGTATTCCAATTTTAGTTTTTTCCTAAAATGATATCCTCAATGTTACTTAATATGATGTATTATATTTATGTTATAATTGCCAGTTTAAATTATTTTATCTTTGTTTCTGAGAAAGAATTGTCATTTTGGCAAAGTGGACAGCTAAACATACTACAATACCCATGAGTATATATGGCTTGTACCTTAAACTTTTTATCAAAGAACCATATATTATATATGATTTTATATTTCATATGATTTAATCATACAAGCTGTAGAAGTGCTCAAATAGTCACGTAACATTGTCTATGGAATAATAATGAATTGGACTTTTACTTCCAGAACCAGAGGCTCCCAAAATAGGTCCTCCCACATCGCAACTCTATTATACCCTAAGTTAGAGTCCTG